CTCCGGCGCGGGTGGTTTGGTGGTCGTGGTGCTGCCTGGGGCGCGCAGAAACTCTGATAGTAGGAGACACACGTGTGTTTAGAAATAAGAACAAGCAGCCCGGAGCACCGCAGAGCGGCTCGGGGAGACCCCGGGCCCGCCGCGCGCGGGCGGAGCTGCGGACTCCGAAGAGCAGTGAGCGCCAAGCCGCGTCGAAGTCGGTGCTCAGCCGGATCTGGGATCAAAATTAGAGGCGCCTGCGGTTAAACCCAGCACGCAGCGCGGTGGAAAGCGGGCTTCTGCCCTCAGCGGGGTGGCGGGGGCAGCGGAGACGGGCAGCCGGCTCCCCGCTGCACCGGAGCCGCGCGGGCCCGTGCTCCGGCGGAGGGGAGGGCGAGCCCGCGAAGGGAAGGCCCCGAGGTAGCCTTGGAGACAGCGTCTCGCCCGTGTGCCGCCACCAGGCTCTGTCTCTAATTGTCAGCCTGCCTCTACACTGGGCTTGTAAAATTTCCTGAACGGCCGCCTTCTTGTGCTTATTAGCAAACCATGGGGAGAAAGAGAAACTCCGCCACTCAGACTCGGGAGTGGGAGTGGCGGACACGCGAGCTGGAGCAGAGTGTGTGGAGTGGCTGCTCGGCACCGTGCAGGGGTCGCGTGAAGCGCTGGCTGCACCCCTGGGGACGAGCACGTGCTCCCCATGGGGCGGAGGAAGCGCAGGGCCTGGGGCTGTCCGGGTGCAAGCTTCAGCAGGTGGCTGGCGCACCTGCCTTCGCTGTCACCTCGGAGCTGCTGAGTTGAGATGCCGAGCTCCTGCTCCCCTGGAGCCCAGCTGAAAGGAGCATGTGTTCATTAAAAGCCATCTGCGCTGGAGTCTGTTCCGAGCAGAGTAGAAACGCAGTGTGATTGGAGTGTGAGCAGGCCTGTGCGTCAGGTCCTCAAGTCCTGTCAGCAGTTCAGCTAAAAGGAACTGCCTTTCTGCTTTGTGTCTTTCTACAGGAAACCCGACTTCTCCTTTGAGGGATCCTGTCACGGGAATGTGTGAGTCTTTGGATAAATTTGGCGTGGTGACGGCGGTGTGCTTTCTCCAGAGACACTGCCACTTCCTCCCTGCTCCTTTTCTACCCTGTTTGTCGGTTTTGACCCCCGTGACAAGTCAGATGGTTTGCCATTTCCACACTTTCCTGCTGCTAGGTATCTCCCCTTCTTTTGCTCCTTCTGAGAGGAGTCTGACCGAGGTCCTTTGGTGGTGACTGCAGTAGAAATGGGGCCCTTGAGAGCAGATCTCCTGGCACCGAATGGTCTGCCTTAGCACTGCTGGGTCCTTACCTGTGCTGCTACTGGCAGAACTTGTAGAAGCTTCTAGGGGCTCCCTAGCTGGCTCCATGGAGCTCCAGTGCCTTGCTGAGAAAAGCAGCCAGGCACACCTATGTGACATCATGGACTGGGGTGCAGAAGGCCCTCCTGGGGACCAGAAAGAGGCAGCCGCCCGCAGAGCTGCTCTGTGCTGTGAGAAACACTGTGGGTCTATACCAAGAGCAGCTGTGACGGAAGCATCTAGACCTCGCGCTTCCGTAGAAGCCCCCTCCTCCTTGCAGCAGGACGGTACTACTCAGCCAGCCTTCTTCCCAGAAGGACCTCCTGGGAACAGCCACATGACATCAGAACGGAAGGTCTGCCAGTGCTGCAGCCAGGAGCTGGAAACCTCTTTCACCTATGTGGATGAGAATGTCAACTTGGAGCAGCGAACCCGGAGGGCCTCTTCAGCAAAAGGGAATAATTGCCCTGGAGACCTTGGCTGGGGAAATCGGAGTGAATGGTCCCAGGAGGCTGCCATATCCTTGATATCCGAAGATGAAGACGACTCAAGTTCAGAAGCCACCTCTTCGGGCAAGTCGGTGGACTACGGTTTCATCAGTGCCATCTTGTTCTTAGTCACGGGCATCTTGCTGGTGATCATTTCTTACATCATCCCACGGGAGGTAACTGTGGATCCCGGCACGGTGGCAGCGCGGGAGATGGAACGCCTGGAGAAGGAGAGTGCACGGCTGGGGGCTCACCTGGACCGCTGTGTGATTGCGGGGCTCTGCCTCCTCACTCTCGGCGGCGTCGTTCTGTCCTGTTTGCTGATGATGTCCATGTGGAAGGGAGAGCTTTATCGGCGAAGCCGCTTCGCTGCTTCCAAAGAGTCCGCAAAGCTCTATGGTTCTTTCAACTTCAGGGTGAAAACCAGCGCGAATGAAAACACCCTGGAACTGTCCTTGGTAGAGGAAGATGCTCTTGCCGTATAGAGTTAATTCTGATTAAACATCTGAGAGTGTACCTTGGCGTTTTATATGAAAACATGTTTTCTTAAAATTAATAATGTGACTTATTTGCCAAGCAAGAATAATTTATTTCACAAACCAACAAGCAGCCAGTGAGTGTTTTGTTCTCTTGAGTATCTTCTACGTAGAAGAAAAGTCATGTAAAATGCATAAGAAACCACAGCCAGCCACACCTAGCTTTCTGAGAGCTGTAAGCAATTAGTCTGTAATGGTCATGAGCTTCTATTTGTACAGCAAAATAACTAATGACCCAAAATGCAAATGATTTCTTTTACAAAAATATGGTATAGTATTCTTTGAGTAGGCAGAAATTGTATATATAATGGGGTTGATTGGCAATCTATTTTGTGAAAAATAAGCGCTAGTCACAGTAAAGTATACTTTTAATTCTCAGAGGTGCTTGTCCATTTTCCTGCTGGATTTTTCATGATTCAGTTTGGCTAAATACTACAATACAGATGTCTGGGTGTGGATATTTTGAAGCTTGAGAATGTTGGTTATTTTTTAAACTATAAAAATGTTATATTTAAATTATTCCTGTATTCAGAAATGGCAACTGTGTCATTAGAGTAAACTTTCTAATAAAAGGAAACTATACGAATCGTCTTAAGACCAGTGTGAAATAAACCCCCAGTGTTAGTGCTAGACGTTGGCCCGTATCCCATGCCCTTTTTCTGAGTGAAGTAAAAGTAATTGCTGATAGAAAATCCTTTTCTGTTTGTGGTTTTCTCATCCTGGTTATCTGTGCTCTTGAAGTCTTTCCCACTTCTCACACCAGAAGGGCAAAGCTTGAGACTTTTTAAAATACACCTCCAGACATCTGCCCATCGAGACAAGTGTGAGTCATGCCTGGCTCTGGCTTACTCCCATGTGGTGTTTCATTGTGGTTGTTTGGCGAAAATCTCAAGTAGCTTCCAGCTAGACTCTTGGGACCTTGCCTGGCAGGCTGTGTCACTTGGCAGAGTCTTTATGCCCCCAGCCAAAGTATTGCAATTGGAAGAGAAAGACCAAATGTCCATTCAGTAGGAGCATTGCCCACCACCAGTGTGCCTCTCCAGAAACGCCCAGGCATCCTTCTGACCTCTTTATGTTGGAGCTCCTCAGTAATTGTACTTTAGCCACATGCAGTGCAATTTCTTGGTCTAGGAGGGACAAGATGGGCCGTGTGGTCCCATACCCACTGTCCACACTGGCGCTACTACACTATGGCAGTTGCATGGTAGGGGACGGGGGATGCAACCTCAGAAGTGTCTTGCAGTGGGGGACTATTCCTGAGGTGTGCCAGCCTCACTGTAGGAGTTGTTGTCACTTTAATCGTATGTCTGAATTTGTGTTGTCAGTGGGCACTGTGGGCGTGTGATGGTGCTGGCTGGCAGAGTGTGTGAGGCAGGGTATTACGTGGATGAGCACTGGGGGGTGTCAAAGCCAGCTGGTAGGAAGGGCACCAGGGGTCAGACCCGAACTACAGTGCAGAAAGGGCACGTGGGGGGCAACGTGTCAGGAATCATGAGAAATCAGGTTTGTTTTCTGTCGCTGGTTCATTGTGTTTTTTAGATAAATTTTCTGTTTGACTATGACTCTCAGGTCATGCTTTCAGTTGAGGCCACCTTACCAATATAAATTTTATGTCCTGAAGGTTTATAAATTGTCCAGTTGTATCATTTGGAGATTTCCTTATGCCTGTATCTTGTATTCTGAGTAACTACTTTGAAGATTACAATATGCAATGTATTAACTATTGTTATTCTCCTATTTTGTTTTTTTTCCCCATAAAGTAAAAAAAGCAGACACTAAAAAAATGTAAAAGAAATTGTCCATTTTTAGCCTGCATGAGAAACTGCTTTGGATGAAGTTGAGGCAGGAAGGAAATAACCTGCCTGCATTAGCAAGCAGGTCTGGGTTAAAAAAAACCCAAATAACTAAAAATTACATCATAAAATATACATGTTTATTCGTAAAGCCTAAGGGAGACCAACTGAATTTTACTTCTGTTTAATAGTAAAGCAGGATTCATTAGCCAAATAGAAGACTAAACGGAATTAATGTATGGCCTGGTTATCATTTGATGACATAGGGTGAGTGTCTTTTCAGTTCCCGTAAAATTGATGATAAGGGAGAAAAGCCAACATTTTTCATTTGGAAGTGTTTAATAAATCTTGCTACCAAATTTGTAGACATGATCTAAAGTCAACATTCAATAAAAGGTGTTTAGGAAAACAATATACATATTTAAGTGGGGGTGGCAGCTAGCCTGTGAGAATATATATATTTTTCTTTCTGAGAACTTCGTAAAATTTCTCTTAAGATTTAAAATTGAGAGTTGAGAGTACCAAATAAATTCTTATTTCTATAACATTCTTTAAATATGCTTAAATATAGAACACTTTTTAAATTTAACTTTTATGACCACAGACCGTTCTAGTAACAGGGACAAGTTAAGAAAATCATCTAGATGACTCCTTTAGGCTCTTTGACATAATTCAGATAATTCTCCCGGTCAGCTTTTCCCCGTATATTAGGTTTGAGTAGTCCTGCATCTTGTCAGTGCCTGAATTGTTGGAAGCTCTTGAAGCAGACCATATAGTATGATGTTCTGGCCCTTTATATGAAGAATGTCTTCTCCACAGCCTTCCCATTGCAGAGCTGGTTTGTGGTTCAGAAGAGTACAGGGCTGCTTAGCAGCAGGAAGTCCTTGGTAGCTATGGGTGCTTTTACTGACGTGGCTGCTGTGTACCTTGATTCTGTGCTACCTAGCTGCTTGCCTTGATAAGCTTTACTGTCTGCTTAAATATCTGAGTCCATCCCCTCCTACTTACCTGTTTTGGAGACCCAGTTCAACCAGTGCTAGAACACGTCTTTTGAGGTGCAAATCTAGACAAAGAAACCACTCTACCAAAACATTTGTGTATTCTCTTTATCCCCCAAAGTAAAGTCAAATGAATGAATGAACATCATGCCTTTACATACCAGGAATGAAGGATGTGCACCTAAGGGGCTCCTTTTTACTTAAATGGGACAGGCAAAAGTTCAGGCAGTTGAATTTGAGTATTTTGATCATCCTTCTCATGTGCAGTGGTAAAAATACAAAAACTGTACCTGGATTAATCAGCTCTAGTTAAAGAGACATCATTCTGTGTATGTTAGGGGGAGGATCTTCAACCTTAAGGTCAAATTCCATTACAGTAACTAATGCTACCAAAAATTGTGGTCTGCCCAGTGAGAGTCACAGTCTTTGCCAGTGGTTTACCCGTCACAACAAGATTTAATACCAGAATTAGATTCCTCTGCAAGAAAGGAATAAAGCAGATCCTTAGTTTTCTGTAATGGATTTAATCTTTCCCAGAACTAAGCATAAAAATGACTTCAATAAGAAGTATTAAAATCAAGTCTCACTGATTTTTTTCTGAAGCTTATAAGATAAATCATTAATATATCATTGTCTTTCATTAATTTTCAGCTATATCATTTTATGGTCCACATAATGCTCCATAATACACTCTCCTTACTTTTATGAGTATACATCTTGGGAAGTAATTTGCCTAACTAAAGCATTAACATTGTAAAAAGAAAGATGTTAAACACTTAAAACTGATTTTAGAAAGAGGAGCTGGGGATTTAGCTCATCGGCACAGCGCCTGCCTGGCAAGTGCAAGGTCGTGAGTTCGATTCCTGGTACCGGAAGAAAAACAAAAAAGAAACAAAACTGATTTTAGAAAGAGTGTACTGGTGGTTTACTCTGTCAGTGTGTAAGTTTGTGTGCATAAGTCTATAAATGTATCAGGATATATTTTATAGTTATAGAATTTTAATATCCCAAAGCTGTTGTTAGAATAATTCTCTTATAGGAATTTGGCGTGCCTTACTGTTGACTTTAAAAGCAAGTCTTTTCATAGGTCATGAATGAAGAATTTGTAATCAACCACAGAACAAGATATCGTAATTATAGAAATCTGTTTTGGTTGTTCAGCATCCCACAAATGTTTATTGATGTACTTTTTTTTAACCTTTCAATTTCAGGCTCATAAGACTGTAGCATATTTAGAAATCATTTTGCTATGAATTACTGCTTTATTACAGGAACATACAGGCGGCACATTCCTTTTCTCCATTTTGGTAGTTCTTGTGTTTCAGAAATAGCAGCCCATTTTCCCACTGCCATCCTCATGCTTCCCAGCCAGGCTGCAAACAAATGTCATGAAAGAAGGCAAGGATAGCTATGCCTATGTGGTGTGTTTAGAGTTTTCACTGTGTGGTTATTATGCTTTTAATTCCACTTTTCTTGCCAGACAAAAATAATTTGATGATGACTGTTTTTATATTAAAAGGGCAATTATTAAGGTAACGAGCTTTTTCTTACGGCATCTAATGCCTTATATAGTAATAGCAAGTGTGTCATTTTAAAATAAAGTTATTTATTGTGATACTTTATTGTGTTTGTTTACTTTTATTTAAGTAATTTGGTACTGACTTGGTCCTTTTAAATTGTTTAAAATTATCTATGCAAAAAATTAAAGCTATAATTATTTACCCCTAGTTCAAGTGTGATTTTTTTTTGTTAGCATAAGTAATGTAAACTGTGCTTTTATTATTTTTGCATTATATGTATGGAATAGTCGCAGCTGTCTGAGTTTCTCTAAATTACTCAGTGTATTGAACTCAGTGTAAATTGCATGATGAAGAAATAAATACATGAACAGGTATTTTTAAAAGCATATAGAATGTAGAAAGCTTTTAGGTGAGAAATAAATACTGAGTTACCTTATGAACCTGCTCTTAATTTTCTCTTAATCTAGTTTTGATTTCCATTTTCATATGAGGGATAAATTGCAATGTACATTACTAAGTGGAATTGTGTCTAGTGTGTACATGTTGCAAAAGTGAAGGATTCTAAAGAGACACTTGGAAGTGTGGCTCCATATACTGCTTGATCCATTTAAAGGGAAGAAAATCTAGTTCATCGTACATGTTTTTTGCTTAGACCTTTTACTTTTTGTTAATCATCTCTGATAATTCAGAAAGACCTGTGTAGTAATAATTCCGTGGTCTCTTGCTTCATGACTCTTGTGGTCAACAAGATGCAGTCAGGAATCCAACCTTATGCAGATACCTAGTTAGCTGGTGATTATTACTAAGTTAGAGAGAGTCTGAAAGATCTCAAGCGGCCACTGCACCCCTCACAGATCATCAGCCAGGACATATAGTCCCATGCAAACCGAGAAATGCAGTCCCACCTTGTGCCCTGAAATGGAGAGAGTTAAAACTGTTTACCAGATCTCTACCATAATTTCTATGGTCTTTGTTTTGTTCAAGCACATTATATATCAATGAATATGAAAGTCTATGTATTCTAATGATCACTTGATCAATTTAATGTGTTTCTATTGGGGGAAAAGTTCTAAAAATACTCCAGAGAGCTGGGCTTGGCGGCACATGCCTGTAATCCTAGCACTTGGGAGGCTTAGATAAAAGGATTGCTGTGAGTTTGAGGCCAGCCTGGGCTACATAGTGAGTTCAAGGCCATCCTGAATTATAGAGTGAGACCCTGTCTCAAATAAATAAATATGCTTCAGAAAAGATATAATTTAATAGTTCATTATTAAAAATACTTAAGTAGGAAAATTACCAAGCTTTACCTTAAGATTATATGATTTTATTGTATATTTTATCATAAAAATTAGGAGATTAAGCCAGCACCTATGCTTTCAACTTGTAGAAAGGAGGAAGTACTTTCTTGAGACCCTAGTATGTCTTTCTATTGAAATCATGCCTCATTGAATGCTCACTAACTTCATGTAAGGCAAGTAGTATTACCTGCATTCTAATAATGAAACCTTGGAACTGGAGAATGTTAAATGACTGCCCAAAGGTAATAACTAATAAGCACTGGATAAAGATTTAAAACCTAGGACTATTTCACTGAAAACCCTTATTTATTCAAAGTTTGAAGGATTGTTACCCTTCCACCAAGAAAATCAATTTATTCTAGCTAGTTTATTTTGTATTCATATTTTATAAAACAACTCACATGACTTGAGAAACAAATGACTCTTCCTATAAAAAAGCCACATTTGCTTTTAGAATAGTGTTTTTGCAAAATATGCAACCAAATTTAAATAGTTCCAGCAGGCTGCCATCCTACTGATGGCTGCCCCTGAGGTAGGACGTGTTCCTCCAGGCCCAGAAAGAAAATGTGCTTACTCTTCCTACAGATGCAGTAGTGCAAAGGACTTAGGAAGTCTCCAGTAAGGGGTCTAGTGTTGGCGAGAAACCCGTCTTCTCAGGTGCAGAAGGGCCTCAGAACCAGGGAAATCATGGTTTGAAGTTTGGGTGCCGCTCTCTACTCCTGTCCGGCCTTCTGAGCCGTAGTTTCATCTTAAACTGAGGATAACACTTTCTGCATTGCAAGATGCTGATGAAATCTAAGAACAACAGGAAGGTTGAGAGACAATTCTCTGTTCTAGCATTAGGTCTCCCATTATCTTAAGTAGAATGCTTGTAGTAGCAGAATTGGTCTGGGGGGAAGTATTTGGAATCCGGTTGGCCCAAAACTGAATTGGGCCATTGTAAGTGGTTACTCCTCACTATGATCAAAAGTAACATTTTTCTTTTCCTCTGCTATGTCCTTATCTTCTGCATCCTATTTCTTACTCTTTTTTCTTTTCTTCTGTCTGTCCCTCATCTTCTTCTCTTCCCCTTCTCCCTCCCCTGTTCTTCATTCCTATCGTTATCATCATAGTCATCACCAGCATCCTGATTATCCCCATGATGATGTTGGATGTCTTCTACTTCCACTGTCATGTACATATCCCTCCAAGAAAGAAATTCATGTTTCCCTTCACAAGACAGCAAAGCAATCTGGAAAGCTGTCTTTTGTTTAACTTTGGGGTACATAGTGCAAAGTACAAAGGTCCTCCTTGAAAAGTCAGCTCCAATCATCAACACGGTAGTGGCAGAAAGCTCTGTTATCCTTTGAGTACAAGACTTTTTGCTGTAAAACATCAAAGTAATTTTCTTTCATTGAAAATACCTTCTTCTCCTGCTACTCCTCTTGTCTTGATTTTTACATTCTTAATGTTAAAAGTTTAAAGATTCTGTTCAGTGAGTACTCTGGCAAAAGGCTATTCTCCTTCCATCCCATGTATCTAGACTTCAGATTTTATGTGCTTAAATTTAATTTATCTTTGAATTTATTTAACAATGGCCCTATCCTGCCAAATAAGCAAAAATTGCTCTGGAATACAAACGACATTAAGAAGAGTTGCTAAAATTAAAACTCATTTTCTCTTTGATAATTAGATGGATAAACTCAGTGATGCCCTCTACTGCTCAGTGATCCATAGCAGGGTAACCATCTTGGGAAGAAAGTAGAGCCAGAATCTGCGTTAAGTCCTACCTTTTAAAAAAAATTTTTTTTATTGTTACATTTTAGATATACAAACGATCACATTCATCGTAGAGAATTTGTACTGTGCATAATGTATCTTGTTAATTGTTTTCTCCCCAACCCCTCCTTCAACCCTTTTTCCCCTCCTTACTTCTTTTTTTTTTTTT